GTGCTCACTGATCTGTGGGTGCAGATCCGCACCCCCAAGGCTGAGTCACCGTGCTCACTGATCTGTGGGTGCAGATCCGCACCCCCAAGGCTGAGGCACCATGCTCACTGATCTGTGGGTGCAGATCCGCACCCCCAAGGGGAACAAGTGCATAGTGAGGGACGCTGAGCAGGTACCACCTGCTCCTGTTTCAGCCCAGGTGGCTCACCCATTACAAATCCACCTCTGTTTTCCCTGCTGGGAGTTTCTTTGTCAGCTCAACTGGTCCCAAGAAAGCCATTTAGAGAGGGTGCAGGGGGCTGATACCAAGGGTGCAAATAGAAGTAAATGTTTAGAAAACGATGACGGCGACATGTACAAATGTGCTTCATACAATTGATGTATGGATTGTTAGAAGAGCTGTCAGAGCCCCCAATAAAATGATCTTTAAAAAAGACAGTGGAAAGAGAAACACGAATAATTAAAGAGAAAGGCACCAACTGGTGGGTGTGTGTCCGGTTAAAACTGCTTCCAGAATGTTCAGGGAGCAGTGCTGCCACTATGCCACTTTCTGCTACCCCAGACAGCCTGCCCTGGCTCAGGCTCCACAATCACCCCTGGGAAACCCCAAGGGTAAGGGTGTGAGATGGGGCCCAGTTTGCTGTGTGACCAGGTGCGAGGGACCAATAAGAAGAGTCCATAGCTGGGCCTGCTCGGCCCATGCTGGGATCTGCCCGCCGTGGAACCTTAGGGTAGAGCTGGTATTTACTTGGGCCAGGATGCAGACCCTCAGCCCCGGGGAACCCTCACCTCCTTGGCCAGGCTGTCACCCCCAGGCTGCCACTGAGCCTCCCTCCCCAAGCTTCTGTAGTGACCATGGCACCTTGTCAGCCACAGTGCCGGCAGGTGGCAGGTGCCAGCATCGCCAGAGAATGGGGACACTGCTCCATAGATCAGGGCAGCAGCTGGCCACTTTCACGAGCTGGCCTTTATGGGTGTGGAGGACCCCAGAGTCCTTCCAGCCATCCATAGCCCTCTGGGGTGGGGCTGTGGGCAGCTACCCTGTTCTTGGCTGTGAGGGCACTCACAGTTGGCACTTGGAGACCTGTCGGTGGGGGACTGCACACTTGAGCAACATGGTGACTTCCGTGCACATGGGTCAGGGCCAGGTTTTTTTTTGACTCTGGTGCCTGTGTCTACTCTCAGGCCCGGGAAGCTGCAGTGGGGCCCACACAACATCTCTGGCATATGTTCATCCTCTGGGAAGCAGGTCTTCCTGGTCTGTAGCACAAGAGGCCGACTGAGCACTGAGCCGGGGACCCTCCCCCTCCTCCTTGGAGACAGGAGCTGCCCTGAGCCAGACTTACTACAGGATTCTGGGCCCGTCTGTCCTGTTACAAGCCCAACCCCCTCTCCTAGGCAGGCTGCCTCCACAGGTCAGCCAGGGGCTGTGTGGGGCACTGGATCCAAGAGAGGCAGATGCATGCTGTTACCCAAAGGAGGTGTCAGTGGGGCCACCAGAGCGCCAAGGTCATCACCCGTGGGCCCATGCTGCACCCTGCCACAGTGTTGACCCAAAGACCAGCTCCTCAGCTGTGTTAGCCTGGGTACTTTAAAGAAATCAATCCACAGAAACTCATGTATTAAGAGAGAGTTTTATATAAAGGTTAAGTGTGCATCAAGAAAACATTCCAACCTAGTGCTGCCCAAGCCCACAAGTCCAACATTAACCCATATGTCCAACACCAATCCACAAAGTCCTCCTCCATCTCACAAAACAGACAATGATGCCAACTGCAGGAGGAAAGCCGAGTCAGTCAATGTGTAAGCATCTCAGCGCTGGTAGGGGTCTACCCAGGGCTGCATCGGTGTAGGTCCATGTGGCTTCTCCTCAGGGCTGTCTTGCAGGAGGTGAGCCTTGCCAGCTAGAGCAGGGAACTGGCTAAGGCTGCTGCACTCTGGTCCGACCATCAGAAAGCAAGAGACCTGAGAACTAGAAAGGCGACGCTCACCAAGCCATTTATCCCTCCGCCCTTCAATTAACCCCACATGTGCTTATCGGACAGGTTGACACAATAAACTAACTACCTCATCAGCTCACAACAGTCCTGGCACAGCCACGGCTCTTCTTCAGATCTGGGCCTGGCTGCAGCCCTGCTTGTTCCCAGCCTCCCCTTCACCACTGTGTGCTAGACCTGGGGGAGCAACTGTAGTGCCCAGTGCTGTGGGCTAGGTGTGGGATTACAAGCCCAGATGCAGGTTTAAGTGGACAAAATCACTTCTTGGAGGCCCCATCCCTCAAGACCTGCCTGGGGAGTCCTGGGCAAGGCTGTGTGGTCTGCCCCCCCCATCCCCCACTACACACACACACACACACACACACACACACACACCACCACCACCACCCCTGTCTACACATGGGAGGGGGATTGCCTTGATGACCTGCAGGTGAAACAAGGGTTTTCACCTGAAGCTCCTTGTGAAGCCAACTGTTGGCCACTTAGAGGATTCCTGCGTCCTGCGTCCCATGTACCAGTCCTGTCGAGCCGGAGGGGAGCCGGGCTAGTCTCAGCAGCAAGCTTCTTGCTGGGGGCAGGGGTGCTTGGGCAAGGAGGCAGCACGTAGAGACACCCTGAGGCACACATGACTCCCCCCACCCCCCAAGGGCCTGCGGCTGGTGAGTGGGTGTGTCCTGAGGCCTCGGGGCTAGGTGAGGGGACAGGCAGTGTGTTTGTGGTTGTGGCAGCCCAGCCCCCTGCAGGGCCGTAGGGTTTTCCGTGGTGGGGCAGGCAAGGAACGGACTTCGAGGGCCTGGTGTCCAGAACCTGAGCTGTGCCTTCCTCCTGGACTTTAGCAGGAGTCCTCCAGTCAGTCCTCCGACTCTTGGCGCCCGGGATGCCAGCCCAGACGCCCACTCTGAAGGTGCTGGAAAGACAGCCCTGGCAACCGCCTCCCAGCTGTCAGCCATGGCCAGCCCTGTGGGCACCCTGACCAGCTGGGCTTCCCTAACTTGGGGCTGGGGGTATGGCTTGCACAGTGGCTGAGCCGGCACGTGCCCCTGAATTGGTACAGCTGAGTCCACCTGGCCCTGTGGTCAAGCCCCCTTCTGCCACAGGGCCAGCATCCAGGCTGCTAGGTCAGTGGGGATGCTGTTTCTCAGACAACGACTCGTGGCAGGTTGTTCACAGTGTTACAGTTGTTTTAGGAGAAGCCTGGTGGCTTAAAGCATTTAGTTGTCCCCCAAAAGGTCAGCCATTCAAAACCACCAGCCACAAAGGGGCACAGCCTGGGAGCACCATGAAACGGTTCTGCTCGGCCCTGCAGAGCTTCTCTGGGCAGGAATTGACTTGGAGAGGCTCCTGAGTGTGTGTGTGGGGTGGGGCATTTTTAGAGCTCTGTGCACAAGTATTTGTGACCAAAATGCTGCGGCATCTGGGTCTCCCTGGGTTCACCCATTTTCCTGAGTGCATTGGTAAGTTTCACGGGAACTGAAGGAGAGGGGCAGGTCCAGGAAAAGGAGGCCCCTGCCCTGACCCCAGTCAGCCTTAAGGCCAGTGGGCGGTGGAGCTGGCCTGACCATGGCACTCGTACAGTGTCTTCTCGCCCTCCTGTCTCACAGAGTGTGCGTGAGGGCTGCCATTTTCTCTCAGAGTGAGCACTTCTGGCCACATCACCCAGGAAGCACTCACACCAGCGCACGCTTGGTGAAATGCCCATCTCGCCTCTTGCCCATTGTCCAGTTAGTGGGGTTGTGTGAGTTCTCAAAGTTATTAAGTCTGGAGTCCTGGTTGCATAGTGATTAGCTTTGGGCTGCTAATCGGCAGTTCGGCAGTTTGAAACCACCAGGGTTCTTTAGGAGTAAAATGAGGCATTGAGCCCTTAGAGCAGCGGTTCTCAACCTGTGGGTCGCGACCCATTGGGGGGGTTGTCGAACGACCCTTGGGATCGCCCGATTCATAGCAGTAGCAAAATAACAGTGATGAAGTAGCAAGGAAAGTAGTTTTATGGTTGGGGGGTCACCACAACATGAGGAACTGTATGAAGGGGTCGCGACATTAAGGTTGAGAACCTGTGCCTTAGAGAACCGCCGGGGCAGTTCTACTCAGTCCTATAGGGTTACCATCACTCCCAGGCAGCGGGTTTGGTGTTAGCTTTCATGGAGTCTACGTAAGGTTCTTGCCAGCATTCCCTCCCACCCCCGCTCCAGGCCACCCAGGACACTGGCCCCGCACTCTGGGTGGAGGGAGGACAGAGAAGCTAGGGGAGGTGAAGGGGCTGGGGGACGTGCACGCGACGGTCACCTGGCTTCCCCAGTAACCCCGCTCCCGAGAGGCGAGCTCGGGGTGCGCAGGTCACCATTTGATCGCGCCTCCCCGCGGGGCCCGCGCCTCCGGAGAGCCCCGCCCCTCGGAGGGACCGCCCACCCACCCGGGACCGCACTTCCGCTCCGCCGAGGCCGGTTGGATTTGGTTCCGCCGCGCGGGGCTGACGCCTGCGCACTGCACCGAGTTGGCGCACATGCGCAGTGCGCGGGGGCTGCGGGCCGCCCTCGGCCGGGCGCCGGGTGGGTAGGGCCCGGACGTGTCGGCTTCTGGGCGCTGCCGCTGTCTGTATTCGGAGTAGAACTCACAGCCCGCGATGGGGAGGTCGGTGCTTCGAGGGCTGGGGTGGCCGGCAGGGAGCCCCTCTTCTGCAGCCAGTGGGACCCCCGCTCGGTCAGAGGCCAGGTGCGGGGACTGGGAGTCTAGGGAGGGGACGGGGTGGTCTGTACCCCGAGCCCGGGCGGGAGCTTCAGACACCCCAGATGCCAGGACTGCGGGACTCCGAGTCCGACACCCCCGGCCGCGTGAGCAGGCATGGTGCCCCGGTCCCGCCGTGGTTCCCACACAGCTCCAGGGGGTCTGCAGGGACAGCTGGGCTGGGTCCCCTTGTAAGCCCCTCCCGACTGTGCTGGGGGCCAGGTTTGCTGCCCAAGACTGCAGTCACCGCCTCGCTCCCTGGCCGAATTCCCAGAGGGACCCTCCCCCTGCAGACAAGCTGGCCTTCTTCCGGAGGCCTCCGTTCTGCGCGTCCCAGTGTACCTCCGCGGTCAGGCCTTTAGTGGCCCGTGCCCCTCCTGGCCAGCTTCAGAGGGCTAACAGGGCCCCGCGAACTACAGAACGAAGCCGGGTGGCCCCCATCTCGCCAAGGGTGCCCCAGGTAGGGCATGTGAGTGTCGAGCTGCAAAATCCCGCAGGGCCTTGAAATGCTGTGGGCACCGTAACTCACGGGGTCAGCTAGGCCGGTTTTCCGAATCTGTTAAGGGCACCCAGGGATTTCGGCAAAGGAAAAACGCGCCCCGTAAATAGTTCCCAAATGTGACAGCATGTTCTGGACGCTCCCTGTGACCACACAGGGCAGGGCGGTGATGCTGCCCAGGTTTGCCCGGGGCATGCGGGCGCCTGTGAACGCTGACGCGCCGTCGTGACGACATGATGCAATGCCACGCGGGCTTGTGAGAATGCTGACGCGCCATCGTGACGTGACGTGACGTCACGCGGCGCCAGTGAACGCCGACGCGCCGTCGGTCGTGACGCTACTGTCATTAGTTTGCCCAGTGCAGAGCCCGGCCGCCCCAAGGAGAAGGGCCTGCCGCCCTGCAGGGCTGGCCAGCGAGGGTCGTGTCGTCTTTGTAGTTCTGCACCCAAAGTCCGCAAACAGAGCAGGGCTTGATGGGCGCCACCCCCAGTGGGCTGGGCGCTCTGAGGGGTGGGTGACTTTTTCAGAGCCTGGTGGGCGCTGCGCTCCTGGCCTGCACAGGAATTGTGACCCCCAGCTGACCTGTACAGCCTGTGTTGGGGCCGTCCTGGCCGAGGGGCTCAGCCTGAGGCCGCCTCTGCACCTGAGGGAGGCTTCCTGAGCCTAGGAGGGGGCTCACATCAGTGGGGCCACTGGTGGGGGTGGGGATGAGGGGAGGGAATGTTTCTGGAAGCCCCGCCTGCTCTGCGGCCCAGGGACTTGTGTTCTCTGTGCTCTCTGGCCTCGGGCAGCCCTACCTTGTGTGCGCTTCTGCAGAGGCTGCCTGTTCCTCCGCCTCAGGCCATGGCCAGGCCGTGAGGTGTGACCTGCACCCGGCCGTGACCCTCAGCCATGGTGTGCTGCGTATCCCATCTGAAAGGGTGCGGCTCTGTAGGAGCACCACCCCCCCC